TCTTAATTATCGAGTAGCTAAAGCAAATGGAAGAAATGATGGAGTACAAGACCTGAACAGAAAAATTCAAAGGACAGCTCAAGAACACAAAGTACATATTATAATGATATATGCAACAACTTAGAACTAGAAAACAAAAAAGAAGAACACAATCAGCATATTTTAAACTAAAAAAATAGAAAAAGAAATTGAAGCCTTGAGTTGACATAATGAAAGATTCAATAAGCAAAATATTGAACAATGCAGAAAGTATTGAGAGAAGATGGAAAGAATACACAGAGTCACTGTACCAAAAAGATCTAGTTGACATTCAATCATTTCAAGAGGAAGCACATGAGCAATGGTACCAAAGGAAGAAATCCAAGGTGCCCTGAAGACATTAGCCAAAAACAAGGCTCCAGTAAGTGATGGAATACCAATTGAAATGCAAATTGATGAGCACTGGACACACTCACTCTTCTATACCAGGAAAACTGGAAGACAGATACTTGGCCATCCGATGGAAAGAGATCTATATTTGTACCTATTCCAAAGAAAGATGACCCAACAGAATGCTCAAGTTACAGAACAAAATTATTAATATCTCAATAATGCAAGTAAAATTTTGCTGAAGATCATTCAACAGTGTTTGCAGCAGTATAATGACAGTGTGCTGCCAGAGATTCAGGCCCGATTCAGAAGATAATGTGGATCAAAGCAGAGAATACCCAAAAGATGTTTACTTGTGTTTTCTTGACTATGCAATGGCAATTAGACTGTGTGGACCATAACAAACTATGGGTAGCCTTGAGAAGAATGGGAATTCCAGAGCACTTCATTGTGCCCACAAGGAACTTGTACATGGATCAAGAGGGAGTTATGCCAAGAGAACAAAGGAAAACTGCATCGTTTAAAAGCAAGGAAGATGTGTGTCAAGGTTGCATCCTCTCACCATATTTATTCAGTATGTATGCTGAGCAAAAACTCGTAAATTGGATTATATGAAGCAACGTGTGGTATCAGGATTGAAGGAAGGCTCACTAACTACCTGTGGTTTGCAGATGATACAACCTTGCTTGCTGAAAGTGAAGAGGACTTGAGCATTTGCTGTTCATCACACAAGGCATCCTTCAGTATGTATTACAACTGAATCTTCACAACTGGACCAACAGGTAATGTCATGATGACTGGCTGAAAGATTGACATTGTACAGGATTTCATATTGCTTGGATCCACAATCAATGCTCATGGAAACAACAGTCACGAAATCAAACGCTATTGGCACTTCTGCTGTACAAGACGTCTTTAAAGTGTTGAAAAGCAAGGATGTTATTTTGAGGACTAATTTGTGCCTGACACAAGCCATAATATTTTCCATTGCTTCATGTGCAAGTGAAAATTTGAAATTGCATAAAGAAGAAGAATCACTACACTTTAATTATCCTGTTGGCAAAGCACATTGAAAATATCATGGACTACTAAAAGAACAAACAAATCTTGGAAGAAGTACAACCAGAATGCTCCTTAGAAGCACAAAAGGGGAGACTTCATCTGACATACTTTGGACATGTTATCAGGGGAGACTGGTCCCTGCAGAAGAGTGTCATGCTTAGTAAAGTAGAAGTGCAACACAAAGGAGGAAGACCATGGATTGAAATAACCATTTCCTGAAATAACCATTATTTCAGTGGCTGAAATAATGGGTCCAAACACAAGAACAACTGTGAGGATGGTGTGCAACTAGGTGATGTTTCATTCTGGTTTAGACAGGGTTGTTTTAAATTGGAACCAACATTATGGTAACTGTGTTAGGCTGTGTTGTCTACAGAAACAAAATCAGTGAAAATCATATATATATATATGAAATAACTTTATATCAAGAAGTAATCGTATCCAGAAGGTATCTCAGCCCAGTCCAAATAAGTCCATAAGTCCAATGCAAGCTTGACTTCAGATTCACATAGCTGAGGTCAAGGATGCAGAAAGGTAAAGCAAGATGCAGGAAGACCGTAGGGCAGTGGGCTCAGAGTCAGATGGATCCAGGGGTCCATGGAAGCATGCCAGTGTGCCGATAGCTCTCAGGGTTGGGAGAGGCCACACATAGTTATATAATAGTATCGTAATATTGTTTAATCAGCAGTGCCTCTTAACATTTTAGTTTTAAATTGTTTTGAGAAAAAGTAAACGGACTCTAGTTGTACCAATATGGTGGCCACTTGCTACATGGACTATTTGGGACCTTGAAACATGACTAATCCAAAATGAGATGTTCTGTTACACTTATTATGGAAGGAAAAATATATAAGATAAAATAATAGTATTTTATATTGATTACATATTGAAATTATATTTCTTAAATATATTTGGTTATTAAAATTAATTCACTTATTTATTTTTTATAATGTGACTATTATATTTAAACTATTATAGAACTCACATATTTTTATTCTATTGTAAAACACTTAGCTGCACTAAGGAAAGAACTATAAGCAATATTTCCTATATTTTCCAGTGTCAACAGCAAATTAGGAGAGAACTAGAAGGCATTTGTTGAATACATTTGGTTCCAAATATTGGACAAAGTGTTTGCCTAGTCAAGAGAGAGAGACTTGTCAGATACAGAATAAAACAAAAATGAATCAAATAAATAATTCCAACTTAGTGTTTGAATATGTACATATAGGTTAGTAAATTTAATAACTAAAAGAACATTAGCAAGTGTGACAAAATTAGAGTCATCAATTTTTCTTTTGATTAAAAACAGTTGTTTTCCTGGGAAAATCCAAACCCAAAGCAATCAATGTCCTAGATATCAGGCTTGCCTTTAAAGAGACATATATCTATTGTTATTGCCCAGACTGGATAATGATTGATCAACAGACAGTCAGACACACTACCAACTAGGAGTTAGAATGAGGAACAATGGTTACCTGAAACGGAAAGTGACGGAACACCTAACATTCCGTTACCTAAACCCGTGAGCTGCAGCTCTCCTCCCTCCAGACATCCAGGTGTTCCTCTTTGGAACAAAGACATTCTTTTGTGCATAAACACTGTATTCACCATGGGAAAATGATGAATTTGCCTACACAAATAGGTTAATTTCTAATGCACTAATATATCGACTGTGACCATAAAATTAGAAGCTAAATGGATGAATAATACATTTTTCATCATAGGTGCGCCTTTTTGGTAAAAGATCCTCAGATATTTTTCAGTATGATGTCCAGTATCAGTCAAGATGGTATTTATGCCCCAGAGAGTAAAAATCATGTGTGGTTTCGAGAATACAAAAAAGGAAATTAATAAATAATGATCTACGGGCTCTTTTTATTGCAAAATGGCAGCGCTAAGAATGCTGACTTGGCCAGCACAGCTTTAGATTGAGAGCCTCTTGACAGAGCAAATAAAAGCAATGATAAAGGCCAAAACCGAAAATTGACTTCCACAACTTGGAATTCAAGATATGTGTTTTGTGAGACTCTGGAAAAGCTCTCCTAGGACTGTATCAGGTAAAAGATTCTGGTAGCTTCTACACCAACCATCACCTACCAGTCTATGCAACCCCATTCTATAGGAAGATACCTAGATGTACTCAGCAGTCCTGGGCACAGTGTGACATAATGACTTCTCTCTGTGGAGATTCTCTCATTCCCTGTGTTCACAGGGAAGATTGCCTGTGTTAAAAAGGGATCAAAATATTTCCTTGCCACTGTAGCTCCTCTTCCTACAAAAGGAACTATGGGCCTTCAGTGCCCACAGCTCACAGGAACCGCCTGCATTTCCAGACACAGGTAGACCTCTGCACATTGTGCAATTTCAAGCAACAGTCTCAAAATAATGTTATTCCCACACAAATTTGCTAATTTTATTCTAATCTTATCGTTCTCCTTTTCTCCCTCCTACTCCACCTCTTCTAATCCAAATGTCATGGAAAAGAAATGCGTTTGGAATAATTTGAATGGGAGAAGCTTCCAACCTTTTATGGTTCCCTAGAAAATCTGCCTTAAAAATAATCATTTCAAAGGGTTTGTGTTTTTTTTTTCCATTTGTTTTCTTGTTGTCACTATTGTTTAAAGCAGAAAGGCTCTAGCCTCTAGCCTAGCTTCTCACATACAAGGAGGTTGCTGCAAAGCTAACAAGTCCATACATGGCAAATCAATTCCTACTCAGAGGCAGCAGCCCAATTCCACTCAACATAGCATGTCCCCCATTCAAGAGATACCACAAAGAAATGAATTGCTAATTTCAAAGTCTACCAAACCTCCACAGAACGTGAACTGGAGTCCTGAAGTAGAAAACAGCCCTTTCGGAGAGCTGACAAGTCCCCAAGCCTCCAGAAGACAGCGATGCTCTGCAGGCAGAAGCCTGAAGCTGTCAGCAGTCATTTTCATCTGATGAAATCACATGCACACAACTAACAATAGGATGCTGGGTCTTTCTTGTCTTCTGCATTTATAAGGGGGGTGGGTGGGGAGAGAAAGGTAAGCATGTAGCTATCATTAAGCTCTGTCTGTGGAGGAAGAAATAAAACACTTAGATAAAACTCAGCCAAGCATATGAAGCAAAGGGGTCTAGTATAAAGCCTGCTGAACAAAACAGCTGTTCCTAACGTGTTTTGCATTCATTTCACTTTGGACTCCATCCTTTTAGGACTTGCACAAATTCCTCACACCAACTCCATTCTGCAAAATCACCTGCACAATAGAATGTTCCAAACCCCTAACTCCTGCTCTGAAAAATATCAGAAATCCCTAATGATGGAAGGTACATTTTGTTTTGTCTTTAAAAAAATGTTTTAGACAAGGTAGCATGATGCTCAGTCCCTTTGGCAAGGATACAGGAATTCATCCACCACCACCACCCCGCTTTCCCCAGGCAACTCCAGTGTTTATGGGGCTGGCTCCCCCTTCCAGAGAGGGCAACCCCTACCCACTGCTCTCAAGCAATCCTGGCCAAGCCATCGGTTCCTCCAGGCGGACGCGCCGAAGCCACCACAGAAGATGAAGAAATCAAGTTACCTGCAGAAAAGCACAACTCCTCTCCAAGCGTCTTCAGCGCTCTCCTCGCTGGGCGGAAGGCAGCGCGGGGTGTGCGGCTGCAGGAGACCGACGACGGAGAGCCCAGGGCTGCTCGGTGATGCTCTCAGCAGCTCGCCCGCCCCACCGACTCTGCCCTCGCACCTGCCTTGCGAGAGCCTGTGCAGGGGGCCTAGCGCTGGCACTGTGGACTTCTTTGGTTCCTGGCGCGGCCACCTGGTTCTCTCCAATCTTCACACAAGGACTTCAGGGATTTACCAACTCCATAGGCAGCTGCTGCAGCAGCTGCTGCTCCGCCTACTTAAATGGCGCCTAGTCGCTAACAGAGAGCTTTTAGATGCCACCTACTGTATGCTCCTGGAATATATGAGGTCTGGCATATTTGAGAATTTAATGAATTAAGATGATTCCATTGAAAAGACACCAGATTATTTGGTTTTAATTTGCTCACGAGTATATTGCTAACCTTTTAAATCTTCTGTGGCCAGTTAAATTTAAAAAGATACTCAGAAGGCAGACGAAATGCAGTTCGCTAAATGGTCAAAAGGGTATAGTGATACATTCCAATTTATTGGGATCATATGACAAAGCTGTTATTAACAGTCTCCGATTAAAACTGTCTTTTCACTAATTTCTCAACAGTGGCTCCTGGAAATAGCCAGATTTATTTGCTGACATTGGTAAGGAAAACCAAGTGAACCTGCAAGAAGAGTAATTACTAATCATTCTACATCTACAGTTTTTAAATGCTCGAGTATACATTAATTTGACATGGATCAAATGGAAACGGGATTGATTAGAGAGGATAAATTCTCCTGATTATGACTAAATTGTAGCACTGAATGTTTGAAAAGACTGTATTATCCTTAATATTTTCTCCTCCTTTAAATTTGATTTAGCTTAAACTGTTCTTGGAGATGGGCATGGACAAAAAGACTAGGAAGTCAAAATTGTGTTGTCACTCATTTAAAAGATATAAACTTGCACGGGGGCATGCCATAAACAGGAACACTCTAACTACACTTCTTCTAGGACAGGTGTGGCAGTTATATAATCTCCTGTTAGCTTGAATGAAGGAGTGGAATCTAGCCTGTTAATCAGGTCATAGCCAATGATGCTTCTGTGTGTGAATGGCCTTTTCCTGAGGATTCTCAGAGTTTCCTCTC